ATTCAATGATTAACAATACCTATTTTCGTTGATGGTACTACTGTTTTCAGCGAATTCAAGTCATAAAACTAAATCCCATTTTTAAAGACATCAGAGCGTAATGTTGAAATATTTTTGTTTCCTTATGTGGTAGCAGTTCAAATAACCTATTTTTTCTCGTATGTAAAAATATCACCAGTATTTTTATATTGGAGTGATCTGTTTCTCAAGGTTTAAAAACATGCTGTGAATTTATAATCTCATCTTTTTTTCTCAACTGTCACTCTGTGCAGGGCCCTGTGTTTTTCCTTGAAGATGGAAAATCCACTATCTCATTGAACGATGCTTTGATGTGGGCAAAAGTGAATCCATTCTCTCCTTTAGGGACTGGAATACGACTCAATCCTTTCTGATAGTTTTTTTTCCTCCGTGCTTATTGTTTTTTAAAGAAGAATTTTTAAGGGTTAGTATTGCCTTAACCTTTGTTGTCCAGGAGCCAAAGGTTGGGAGAAAGACAGTGGGGGTGGGGAATAACAGTTGATTTTATTTCATTAACTTCAAAAAATAAAATATTTATATAATTTCAAGGAAAAAATAGATGTCTCCTTTACCAAAACAAAAACAAAAACAACAAAAAAAACCAACCATATTTGAGAGGAAGCCCCTTAAAATTATTCAGGGCTGCATAATCTAAAAGAGCATAGAAAAGTTTCACAAAGCATGAAAGTATCCAAAATACTACATTGCTAAGAACTGAAACATAATGAAGAGTGCAGCATTTAGAATAGTGCTTGCCAGAGAGAAGTACCCAATGAATATTTGAGTAACAGAATATCTCAAAATATGGAAATGTAAGTTAGATGAAACTGATCGTCGGCCCCAAACTCCTATACTGCCTTCACGAAAAGTAAACAACTAGTTCAAGTTCATATTTAGTCAAAGCTTTCAGCTGTGTTTGATAACTATCAACAAATGGACATATAGGCAAAAGCTAGAATTTTATTTTATAAGAAAGAAAATATTAACATTTTTAATCTGAAATTCAACTGTCCAAGGAAAAGATATAGGTAATACAAGCATGAAGAAAATTGAGTTGTGAAAAACGCAAAATGCAGTCAAAGCTCTATGAGAATTTGCAGTTGGTAGTAATCTACTATTTTGAAAGATATTTTGTATGGATGGATATTACTTTTGATTAAAGCATCTAATATTTACATAATCTATTCAATTTATACTAACTCAAACAATTTATTTGATTAAAACTACTTTCAAATAAATTTCTGTAAGCAAATAGGATACTAGTTGATGTTTTGGGCATATTATGTAAATTCAAGTTTTATAAATATTTATTAAAATAAAAAGTTATTTTTTAAAAGTCCTGAGGTAAGACTATCATATTTCAATTCTGATTTTGAAATTTATTAAATGAATACATACTAAAAAGAATGCTACTTTGATACTCAAATTGTTTTATAGGAATTATAGATGTTTTTGTCTAGCTAAAGCGTAAACTCAGAATAGTTTTGATCTTAAAACTTATATTAACTTTTTTAATTTACTTAACGCCTCAAAAAGACATTATATGCTTTAAACTCCATTTTATAAAAATATAATATTATAGAAAAGAATGTATGTAACTCAGAGAGGCAATGGGTATATCTCAGAGGTATTTTTTGACACAAAGTGATATATGAAATTCAAATATTTTTAGATAGGAAGTTTTATTCATTGTCATGTATATACCAAAATCTCATTTAAAAATTACATTTTAAATCCCACTATTATTCTTTTTATTTTGTTTTAAAATAAATTAAAATGCCTGCCCTTTATGCTTTATATCAGAGCTATCTTACATTTAAATTATTCATGTGTAAACAATTACTACCTTCTGTATTTTTAGTGACTTCAGGAAAATAATGTTTTTATGTATAAAATATGAAGAAAAATATCTTACAACACTTAGCACACAAAAACAATAAAGGAGAAACCCAGTTTGTCTAAAATCTAAATTGGGTTGATTCAGCAGCTGTCCCACTGTTCTATGACTTCTACAATGTTTTACTACTAATTCTTCATACAATTATAAATGTCATTTGACTATGTCAATCTGTATATATTGTGACTTAATATGGAAAACAAAGCAATTTTTTTAAATTGTAAAAGTGTTTATTTTTGTTAGATTTCCTATTCCTGAAAACCCAAACAAATATGATACTATTTTACTATCTGAAAGTGTTTGTATTCCCGATAATATGGACAAATTATTTTACAAGTTTAAAGGCACCTTTAGGAAAGAAGAGTCTATTACACAAAGATTTTTAAAGCATTGGAAAAATAGTTTTCCTATGAAAATTATTGACAAAATTGCCACATCAAATGAGTTACATCTTGTGAAAACATATGATTTTTTTGTCAATCAAAATTAATGAAATGTATATATGTTTCCATGAAACCCATCATAAGTGGTCAGGAATATGATTGCATTGGGTCCATGACTATACTTTATTGCTCTTTTAACAGGAAAGGTGATACTTTTTTGGTCTGAAATCAAAGAATATCAAAAGATATCCTGAATATAGTAAATTAATAGTAAAATTTAGTGTTTCATGTTTAGTCAGAGAGAAGATATCTTTATTAAAGTCAATACTTAATAAGCACTTATACCATATCCTTGATATATAAGTGAAATAAGTACTTTTATGCTGAATTTAAATGCCATATGACTGAGTGACAATATGGCATGCAATTTATTAATTTTTATGTATGTATACATGTATTTCAGGTTCCCTGAATTTTAATAAATATTGCAGTTAAAGCCAAATATGGCATAGGTAACTGCTAAGATAAATGACAGTTTAATCCCTAAAACTACCATTGAGAGAATTGTCTCTCCATAAATGCTGGGGCAGAGTAATCATGGTATGAAGGGCTGAGCGCTCCATCTGTATTATCCCCTACTCTGGAATACAGGAACATTATTTCCTTGAACTGTTCAGGAGAGTGGTTTGCCAGTTGTAAGAAACACTGACTACAATTAAACCCAAATTAGTACAAAATGGGAGAAGGGCTTACTACTTAATACAAACAGCTATCACAGAGGTGTCCATTCCCATAAGCATTTTACTAATGTATTGAAAAGGGTCTGTGTATATAGGAGCTGTAGAGCACTTAGGAAACTTAAATTCTTCCTCCTGTCAAAGGACCCTTGTGAAGTAGATGTTCCTAAGATATGCCTGTAGTAGTGGTTTCCAATGCCATAGCTCCTCCTCAAAAAGGTCTTCAAGTCACTTCCTTTCACCATACTTGCTGCCTTCATTTACTTTATTCACTATGAAATGAAGATATAGAGTATTTTATATTCTTCACAGCTCTTCATAGGTCATTCAGGAGCCTTGGGAACTTATCAGATTCAGGCCATATAGTGTTTCGAGGAGGGGGAGCAGAGTCGAGGAAAAAAGGGAAACATATTTGACTCTTTACCTAAATCTAATCTTTTTCTCTGGATCTTTTCCTCAGCTGAGCTTCAGAAGTCTTGCTTCTAAAACCCTTTCCTGAAGAGCTAAATTTTATTGGTTGAAATTTATTATCATAATTTTCTACTTTCGATTTGTCCCAGTAGAATTCAAGGCGACAGGTAAAAAATATATTGTTGACTAAGATTTGTATTTAACTCTATCCTTTACTCAAATAAAACTAGAGTCTAAACACATTTCTAAGAAGTCGGCTATTTTATCAGGACTCTTTATAATTTGTTTTACCAAATATTTTCTTTATTTCTTTTTTTTTAAGATTTATTTATACATACAAGAAGTGGGGTACAGGCCAGAGTCGTGGGGGATGAGAGGACTCACCAGAGACAGAGTAGGGAACAGAACAGGAGGACTGACCGAAATACACTGCTGCGGGGAGCAGCAGGCAAGACAGGAGAGGTCTGCTGCGCCATGTTGGCCGCTCCCTGCCCGGGGATTGAATTCGTGCTGCAGTGGCTCTGGATAGCTTTATAGGTTGCGTCTTAAACCCTTGCATCACCAGAGAGGTCCCAAATATTTTCTTTTTTAAAAAATATTTTGTAGAAGAACTGGGGAGTAGGCCAGAGGTGCAGAGTGGTGAGAGGATTCACCAGAGGCAGAGAGGGGAGCAGGACAGGTGAATTTACTGAAATACAATGCTAAGGGGAGCAGCGAGTGAGACAGGAGAGGCCTGCTGCACCATATGTGGGTCACCTCCCTGGCTGGGATCGAAGTCAGGCCATAGCAGTGTTAGTGCTGAGACTTAATCCCCCAGGCCACCAGAAAGACCCTGTTTTACTAAATATTTTCTATCTAAGTATGTAAAACTAAATAAGGAAGGTTCTGGAGGTAGAAATTCTAACCAGTTTTCAAAAATTCAAAAAAACCAGAGTTTAGTTGGAAATTGACATGCATATCATGGGATTCTACATTAGTAATATTCACCTTGGAGATCAAATGAGAGTTAATGAGACAGCATAAAAGCATGAATAATTCCAGTTGAAAATTTTCCAACTATGAATATTAAATTACCAAGAATATATGAAAGATAATTAGTCTTTCAGGATATCAGTCTGCTTTTGTTTGCCTTCAATAAAAATATGAGTCATGGCAGCAAGCAGTAGGAATTTTTAGATTGAACTAGATGGATTGCTAAACGCAAGAATCACATTCCAGGTGAAGCATGATTTCACTTACTCTGAGTTATCAAAAGGAGAACATGATTTCAGCGCTTACGAACTCTGAGTTATCAAAAGGAGGAACACCTGCTTCTTGTACCCAATGCTTGTATAAATAAATAAATGTTTAATTGTTTAAGAATATTCATGGTTTTGGACAGTATTTTCTTTGCACTAGCATATAATAATAATCATTCGGAACTAAATTTTTATCAATGAAATTGATGAGTAAATATAATTTTCCTTTCAATTTCGAATGAAGAAAATTATGAAGTAGATTTGCTATTCCTACAACACTTATGAAAATGAACTCTCGTAGAGAATTATGTTTAACTTTGTACTTTTAAACATTTTTACTCATTCTGTTCTATTTCATTTTGTATTTTCAACAGTACCTTGCACAGATGTTTAATAAATGTTTCTTATTTGATTGAACAAATATGTTTTCCAGTCCAATTAAGGATAAGACACTGCTTTAATTTACTTATTGTTGAAATATATCCAAGGGTAGGATTGTATCTCTTTAGTGTGGCAAATGATGGTGGCATCAATTCTTTACCGCTGTTAAACAGGTACTTTTCAAGGTTGCTTTTCCATGTTTCTAGTAGGTTCACAGAGAATTCAAAAGAATGTTTACCATTGCTTCACATTACCTATATTTTCTGGAATATTTAAATAAATAAAATAAATCTGTGGTTATTAGATATTTATACAACTATCAGTATTTCTAATATATCAAATACATGCCATTGATTTGCAACTAACTGTGCACAGGTTAATCTAAATAAATGCCTGATAAACAAAATATTTAAGGCATGTATTATAGTAGCCATAAATAAAAAATCTGAATGTCACCCACCTCCAAAAGTCATCAGCAGTGCCTAAAAATATCAAGGACTTATTTTGGTGCATCTGATACTGAATATGACTCAACTATTTTTAGACATTGCTTCAGAAAGCAGCTGAGGCAACAGTGCCATTATTTTAAGAGTTCTTAGGTTTGGCAACTATCCTTAATTTATAATTGGAACACTAATTGTGCAGAGGTAACCAGGCTGGTTACCCAAACACTTTATGTCTTTCCCTTCCAATGTGAGGGGCCAGTGGCAGCAACAAAGAAATCTGTATCCGCTTGGCCAAAAAGGTAACAGCCTCTCTTACAATTGATTTTCATTATCCTCTTTGATAATTAGAAACTAAACAGCCTGTATAGATAGATAGAACCCGACCTAAGACGGGGTTAAATGTTACAATCCAGTGTTCTTACCTTGCTTCATTCCATTAATTTTCAAATGATCAGGTCAGATTAGCCGATCTAGGCTAATCACTACTCTTTTATAGAAACAACTAAAACGGAATCCTTTTAAGAAATTGGGGGTGAGAGGGAAGATAATTTATAGCTTAGCAAATGGGTTTTCATCCAATTAATTATGAAAATCAGAACCGCACCATTCATTAATCCTTTATATGTTTAGACTAAGAAAATCCAAGTATCTGGAACAGGATTGATAGAAGGAAAAAGATACACACTGCTTCTCATCATGACCTGCCTCGTCTAGTAAAGACACCTATTCATCCTTCAGCTATTTTGAAAAAGGGGAGGAAAAGACCATTGAAGTCAAAGAGAAACATAAAATTGAGCACTGAGAGAATAGAATCAGAAAGGAGTTATTCAGACCAGTTGATACATTATTAAACTTATAAAAGCAAGAATCCATTCAACTTGGAGTCCTGATCTGAAATAATGACAGCATACAGTTTTTCTAAAAACTCCTAAGTGAGCCTTGATAATTTTCTGAGAAGGTGAAAGAAATGAGAAATACTCTCTAGCAATTCAAATATCAGTAGGCATCATTTTTTATATATGATCAATTTATATTTGCTTCTTACATAGGAAGGAAACCTTGTTGTGACTCTCTTAGGTCATGACTGAGGAGTCCCCAGGGGCCCCCAAGCTTTTAAATGGTATGAAGAACAATAGTTCAGCAAACCATTAACAAAAACTAAAATAAATAATAGTGATGTATTAACAAATAGTTTGGAAAACACTTCATTCTGTACCTTTCCTTTTTAATATTCACAGTGCACTTGAGTATATTAAAAGCTAAAAAGTCAGAAGTTTGAACAAAGGAATCTGTAGACATTGCTTTCCTGTGTCTTATGTAAACAAATTTTTCCTCACTGAAATGCCTCTTATGGGTTTTCTTGGTGGCACAAAGGGTTAAGCACCACACTATGAAGCAATCCACAGCCACTGCAGCACGAGTTCGATCCCCAGCTGGCCAGGGAGCAACCCACATGGCGAGGCAGACCTCTCCTGTATCACCCGCTGCTCCCCTCAGCAGTGTGTTTCTGTCAGTCTGCCTGTTCTGTTTCCCACTCTGTCTTTGGTGAATCCCCTCACCCCCTGCATCTCTGGCCTGTACCCCAGCTCTTGTATAAATAAATAAATAAATAAATAAATAAATAAATAAATAAATAAATAAATAAATCTATGAAATGCCTCTTGCCACTTTTAGAAGCATCCATTAGATGAAAAATAGGTGGTAAGACTATTCAATTGGGGGCTTCCTTGGTAGCATATCGGTTAAAGATACAGTGCTATAGCCAGCCACTGCACACTAGTTTGATTTCCAGCCTGCCAGGATGCAACCCACATGACGCAGCAGACCTCTCCTGTCTCACCCACTGCTCCCCTCAGCAGTATATTTCAGGAGATCCACCAGTTCTGCTCCCAACTCTCTCTGGTGAATCCGCTTACACCTCGCACCTCTGGTCTACACACCAGTTCTTGTATGCATAAACAAATAAATCTTTGAAAAGAAAGACTGTTCGATTGAATTTCAAGTAAATAATGAACAATTTTAGTGAAAGCATGTCCTCAACATATTGCAAATGCCGTTGATTGTATTAGCCTTTCATGTGTTAGAAAATAGAATTTTTCTTTTATTTTTTCAGCCATTTAAAAATGTAAAAAAAAAACTTTCTTAACTTACAAGTTATACAAAATCAGTCTAGGCGGGAGACTGTCTTTGGCCTACGGGTTGTAACTTGCTGTTATAAATGCTTCTTAGTTAACAGTGTTTAAAGAGACAGTTTCTTTTCTTTTCCTTTTTTTAAAAGATTTATTTATTTATTTTATACAAGAACCGGGATACAGGCCAGATGCTAGGGAAGATGAGAGGATTCACCAGAGACAGAGCGGGGAACAGAACAGGCAGACTGACTGAAATACACTGCTGAGGGGAGCAGTGGGTGCGACAGGAGAGGTCTGCCCTCACCGGCCAGCAGGGATTGAACCGGCGCTGCAGAGGCTGTGGACAGCTTCATAGCGCTGCGCTCAATCGCCTGCACCACCAGGGGAGGCCCTAAAAAGTCATTTTCTTATAGTAGGACTGGTTGGGAAGTCTGAGCATACAAGTATTTCTATCTGCCTTTTCACTGATTCATCATCCAACTGCTAGAGAATTGATTGAATTCTGAGCTCTGCAAACTTCACTTGTTTCACACTCACCTATTGAGAATAAATCTGAACTGTTTTTTGGCTCCTCATGTGGCAGGTGGGTCATTTTTTTAGGGGCCTCCTCTGGCGTGACTGGTGCTTAGTAGTCAACGTACCCCCTTCACCTACCAAAAAACACAACATACCAATCTAATATACAGCTGAAACTGAATGGCTCGGCCAACATTTTATCTAATTTTATAGACAAAGCAAAGCTGAAAAAATCTACTTTAACAGACAGAATGTTAAAGAAAAAAAAGAAAAAAAAAGAAAAAAAAAAGGGAAAAACTTACCTGAAACAGGAGCACCACTTCTCCGCGTTGTCCCCTGGTTATGTTTGCCCACAGAGGCTTGGAGAGGAAGATGATCCAGAGTAAGTTCTCCAACTGTTGGTCTGACTTCAAACCACTCTATGAGATATAAGCACAGAAATCTTTTTTTTTTTTTTTAAAAACTCGCATTTTTGGCAATTGTCAAAACAGGACAATAAAGTTTAAAAACTGAGTAGATTATTTAGACAGATGTTTTATGACATTCCTAAGGGTAGGTTAAATACAGAGGTCACGAACCCCCTCCCACATTATTCATAAATTCTTCGATACACAAAAAGTTGCTTTGAAAGGTTACTTTCAGGGCAATTTATTTGTGTTATTAGTTTTTTGGTAAGTTTTATTATATAGGAAAGTGAACAAATCATGTTTACAGTTTAATGAATTTTTGGAGTGAATATACACCTGAAAAACCATCATCCAGCTCAATAAATAATATAGTACCAGCACCCCCAAATCCCTTTCCTGCCTCTCCCATATAGCAGCCTTAGGAATAAACACTATTCTGATGTTTGTCATCATATGTGAGTTTTACCTATGTTTATATTTTAGATAAAGTTACATAGTATCTATTTCATTTTGCACATATTTTTATACTATAAAAGTAGTGATTTAAAATGATTTCCATATTTCCCACATTTCTTATTACCTAGTACTGTAAACTCTTGCACTTGGGTATCAGTTTCCCTGCTTCTAAAGATCGCTTACTCCTTTGCAGCTCACCCTTCACTGAGGGTTGAGCGGTGTCTAAGATTTCTGCTTATCACTCATGCCCTGTTCATACTAATATAAGTCTGGTCAGTAACATTTCTTTCCAGAACTACAACTGATCACAATTAATTACTTTGCCTGCTTAAAATCAGCCTCGGAAATCAAGGCTGATGACGCAAGGATGCTATTCAAGAATCTGAAGAGTTGAGTGAGGTGTCTCGTGTCTCATGGCCAAAGAGAAATTGTGTTTCAAAGAAGACAACAGGGTCCAGGTTAGTTTTGTACAAAGATGGACTTTAAAATAGAAGATCAAATGGAATGGTTGTGTTTCATTCTAAAAATTCCAATTAGAACCAGTGAGTTGAAGTAAAAAATGAGATGGACTAAAGGTAAACAAACATTAGGTATCAAAAGGAATACCTGATTTGTGGTATTGAAAAATAACTGACAAAACTAACATGCTGGACAACAAAGGAACTTGGGGGGGCAGGTGTGATCAGTGTCACCTGAGGGGTTCCATTCTGTTCCATTGGTTTATATGTCTTTTTCAGCAACATCATACTGCTTTAATTACCATAGCTTTATGGTGAGGAAGTATGAGGCATATGGATATTTTAATACCCACTCTTTTAATCCATGAACATGAGCTATCTTTCCATTTGTCTGTGTCTTCTTTAATTTCCTTCATCAGTATTTTATCATTTACAGTGCACAAGAGGTTCAGACCCAATATATGTATATAAAGAATTTATACAATTAATAGCAAACAAGTAATCTGATCAAAAATTGGGTATATGTCCTAAATAGACACTTCTCAAAGAAGAAATGGCCAGCAGGTATATGAAGATGTATTCAACATCACTAATCATTATCCCTAATCAGGAAAATGCAAATTAAAAACACAGTGAGATATTATCATATGCCTAGCAGAATGACCTATAAAGAAAATAGTAGTAGGGCCTCCCCAGTGGCGCAGCAGTTGAGCGCTGGGTTGCGAAGCTGCCCGCAGCCTCTGCAGCGCCGGTTCGATCCCCAGCTGCTCCCCGGCCACCGGAGGAGGGTCCCACATGGCGCCCAGACCTTTCCTGCCGCCTGCTGCTCCCCTCAGCAGTGTACTTCGGTCCTTCTGCCTGCTCTGCTCCCCGGTCTGGCTCTGGGGAATTCTCTCACCCTCCCGCGCTTCTGACTGTACCCAGTGCATGTATAAATAAATAAATAAATCTTTAAAAAACAAAACAAAACAAAACAAAACAAAGGAAAGTAACATTTCCAACAACATGTGAATGAGACTGGTAGATGGTAAACTAGATTAAATAATCCAGATGTTGAAAGATGAATACTGCATGATCTCACATCTATGTATGAGATAGACTTAAAAAAGCAGAGAACAGAATGATGGTTACCAGGGCTGGGGGGGAGAGGAATAGGGAGATGTTTGTACAAAGTCTCAGTAACGCAAGATAAACAAGTTCTGGGGATCTAATGCACAGCCTGGTGACTATAGTTCATCATAGTGTATTGTATGCTTGAAATATCTACAGGATAGAATTTAAGCATTCCAACTGCAAAAACAAGAAAGGAAAATGATAACTGTGAAGTGACTAATATGCTTGATTGTGGTGATCATTTTATAATGTAAATATAGATCAAAACATCCATTTGTATACCTTAAAATATCATTTCTATTTGTCAATTGTACTTTAATAAAAATGAAAAAGATATTTTAATTGAACGTTTAAGCTTTTCCAAATTTAAATGTAGAATACTATATATCTGTGACCTCATACTGCAAATAGTATTAACTATGAAATTTGTATTCATTTTTCATTTATGCCATAACAAGTTACCATAAATTTAGTGACTTAAAAGAAAATCACCATTTTTATCTCACAGTGCAGAAGTCTGGACCTTCTATATAGAGTCTCTCAAGGCCGAAATTGAGAGGTTGACAGGACTCTGTTCCTTTCTGGAACCTCTGGAAATGAACCCAGACTCAGAGAGTTTGATTTGTGGAATTGTGCCCCTGGCATTTGTAGGACTGAAGTTCTTATTTTCTTGGTCTGTCAGCAGAGAGATGCTCTTTGCTCCTCCTGGAGGCTGCAGTGTGTACCTGACATGCTTTCCATGTGGTTCTCTGCAGCAAAAGGTGAGATGGTCTCAGCCTTCAATCTCTCATCTACTGCTGATTCCAGTTGGAGAAAGAGCTCTACTTTCAGTTGCCCATGTGATTAGGCTGGGTCCACCTGAATAAGCCTCCAATTCTTCCTTCCTTGAGGTCAATTATATATGCAAAGTCCCTTTTGTCATGTACTAGAACGTATTCACAGGTTCCAGGGGTCAGGGTGTGACCAACATGGAGACCATTCTGCCTGCTATGGAGTTTGATAAATTCTACTAAATTCAATTTAAGCAGTGTATGTGAATGAAATGAAGAATACGTGAATGCATACATAGACTATGCATAGTTTGCATAGGTAAACTATTTTTTTTAAAAACAAGGGAATTATAAACAATGGCAGCAGGACAGTGGTTACTCTTGGAGAGAAGGCTGTAGAATACCACAGAGGAGGACATACAGGAGAAGGTAAAGGCATTGGCAATGTTCCATTTCTAAATTACAGAAGGACACATAAACATGTATCCACCATTATTAGTCGTCTTCAGAGGTCCATTTACATCGGATGGATGGATGATCAATTTCACAGAAAACTGCAGTGTTTAAGAACATGCCCAAAAATTGAATATAAAATTCTATAACAGGGTTAATAATAAGAATTCTTTCTCTATTCATAAATTCCTAAATACAACCACAAATGGCAATGAGTCAAGGAAGAGAAACAAAAAAATATTGGAAATGGAAGGAAAGACTAGGAAAGGTCAAAACCCAAAACATGTATCTCACAATTTGAGGGGATTTCTATGAATTCTCCTTTCTTTCCAGAGACTATGGGGAAAAAATGGTTCTTTTCTTCGGAAAAATGAGTTGAAATGAGAAAGTCTAGTGACCAACATCTGCCTCATTCCTGAATGGTTTGGGTGTCATGGAAATGATGAGGTCACCATTCAGCTCCCTAGATTCAGAGGAGATAAAATTCTAAGACAAGAGTGGTATCCTGAAAAAATACTAGAAAAGCAAAAAAAAAGAAAAGGAAAGAAAATTCACTTCTTTGTTTGCCATCTGCTTAGAGCTCTGAGGGCAAATGTTTTGGATGCTTTGAGAATAATTTCAGTAATACCCCTGGAACAATGCCCAAATTAGCCTTGCCACGTAGATACCAACAAGGTACCAGGGACAGGACAGCACTGACCATACTCTAGCATTTAGTGTGAATTCTGGTGACCCAAGCTTTTCCTAAATTACATCTCAGGGAACTCCAAGTGCTCTCATTTCTCTAGGTTTACTGAACTTCCATCTCTCTCTAAATTTTATATGAACAAATTCACCAATATTTTTTCCAAAAAAAGTAAAGATCTATACAATACACTTTGATTAAAAAAAAAAAGAATGAATTAAAACATACACTACTGCAGTAATGAGAAATCATTCCATGGCTGGCATAAAGGAAATCTTTTCCCTTTAAATCAGTGACTGAAGAAAGTGACATGAGACCCCAGCTGGCTTGTCTTTGATCTGTGCTTAGAAATAGCTTCTCTGGTGGCACAAGGGGTTAAGCACAGCACTGTGAAACTATCCGCAGCCTCTACACCACGAGTTCGATCCCCAGCCAGCCAGGGAGCTACCCACAAGGCGCAGCAGACCTCCCTTGTCTTGCTCCTGCTCCCCTCAGCAGTGTATTTCAGTAGATTCACCTGTTCTGTTCCCCATGCTGTCTCTGATGAATCCTCTCACCCTCTGCACATCTGGCCTGTACCCCTGTTCTTGTATGCCTAAATAAATACATCTTTAAAAAAAAAAATAGCTTCGTTAGGCTTGGCAGAGCTCAGCTGCCTTATTTCCAAGGAAAACTTACTTGGATTCAACCTTCGGCTTAATCGTCTCTGCAACATTTGTAAAAGGAAGAGGAACTCTACTTTAAGTTCATTGCTGAGTGTGTTAGGGTCGCTCATTAATTCTGACAGCCTAATATTATCTTTAATAGACTTCGAAGCTGTAGACCTGTGCGCAATGGGCAGATGCATCTGGTAACTATAGTCTGTGAAATTCATGAGGTCATACTGGACACTTTTAATTCTGGAAAATAAAAACAAAATACTGTGGATGAGCCACATTTTTATAACAAGATTTATCAAAAGATTGACATTAAATTATATTACTAGAAAATTCCAAATGACTCACTGTCGGTGTGTTAACAAGGTGTATATCTCTTGTATCAGTATTTCAGGGACTCCAATTTTACAATGAATTGTTCCATGAATTAGTTCTTTAGGTAATTTAATTTTTTTTCTTGCCAAGAACTTCAAAGGTAAAAAGAAAGTATTTTCATCATAAGAAGTTCTATAAAATTTCCCAATTACTATGCATTCACTTTATTTGTCTATTTATTTATTCTACATGTTAAAAGGACAGGTTTATTAGGAAAAAGCGAAAGAAAAACAGAGGCCTCTGCATAGACACAGGTGGGCAGGAGAACTGATATAATTCACTTTAAACCTCCCCCTTTTAGCGCCCTACTAATTTTTCTAATTTTTAACAATTAAGTATTAAAAGCTATTATTGTTCAGCAAGAAACCAATCATTATATCCCACACTAATTTGAAATGAGTATGTCAGTTATATAGGTGACTCATAAAACAAGCTTCTGCGCACAGGAAAGCAGGCTGCGGGCTCAGCGGGGCCTGGTAGCCTGCAGTCACACATATGTGCAGTTATCCAAGACCTCAAGAATGCACCTTCTAAAACATAAACTTCTGAACAGTTAGACGTGTCACTGATGGCTCATTTACCTTCTCCAGCTGTCCCCAGTTATCCAACTTGACTTTTAAAGAGCTTCCGTTTCGAAAGGATGACAATTTAATTTCACTAGGGTAATACACACTGAATATTTCTGCAACCAAAAAGCCATTGGAAAAATCCCTGATCCAGAACAACAATAAAATTAAAATAGTTAGTTCTACAGTTTGTATTATTTTATAATTAACAACAACCTGATACTCCAAACTAAAAGCAAGAAACTTGCAAAGTTAGTTTTGCTGGATCATTGTCTGAGCAAGGAACTGCTCTAAAATAACATTTTGGGAAGATCAGAGAACACCCCAAAGGCTTTGGTGTTCTGTAGCTGAACACAAACTATTAATTTGTATTTGAATCTGCACTTTAACCGCCTCTCCAGTGATTCATAGACACATGGAAAATTTCAGCCACATCTTTAAGCAGAGCCGATATTAGGAAAGCAAAGTCCTTGGGGGCAAAAATGTCTTAATTTTGCTAGGATTTAATTTGCGTTCCCAGAGCTGGTAGGAACAGGCAGCAACTTCAGGGTGGCAGCAGTTAAGCAGCAACTTTCTTTGCATCCCTGCTAACCCTGCAGCTTGACGCCTCCTGAGGAGGGATACCGGTGCTCCCCAATAGTGCTGAGTGTCCTGTCCCTGAAAGAGCTTGGATTATGTCCACGTGTGTAGTCTCCAGAGCCTTCTGCATGAGCTAAAGTCTAACATGTAATGACTGAACCTAAATAAATAAATACATAAATAAAATCCTTCATCCTATTTTTTTTTTCCTTTCAGGGCTGCTCCCTTAGAGGGGAAGCTGTGTTTGTGCGAGCGTTGGGGGGCTGGGTGGGGTCCTGATCTGCCCAGGGCGGGGGCTGCGGGGGGCTGCGGGGGGCTGCGGGGGGCTGCGGGGGGCCCGGCCCGGGGGGCTCGGCACCTGCTCACGTTCCTGGGAAAGTAGCTGAGGTCCAGACTCTGCAGCCAGCGCAGAACAGCCCGCGACAGGCGGGAGCTCCTGGGCGGGTGCGGATAGACCAGACACTTCTCGGGGTTCCCTCGGGCGGGGGCTGCGGACTGCGACGAAAGTGACGGGGATTTGGTGACAGCTGCCGCCGGCAGCGGCGCTTCGTCGCCCCCCAGGCCGGCGGCAGCCATGGCGCTTCCTGCGTTTCTATGGCAACGCCAGCACGGGGGAGGCTCAACAGCCCCGGCCCGCACCCCGCGGTTCTGGCAGTTGGCTGCTCCCTCTCCCCAGCCTGGAGCTCTTTGTTGGGGATGCAAACCCCTGGCCCCCCTGGGCGTGCACACGGTGTGGGGAGATTTAAACCTTGGGAGGAGCTTTCAACCTCGGTGTTCCTTGACCTCAGTCACTGCTGACTTGGAGCCATCCCCGGGGTCGGTGTCCTCCTTGGGGTTTTGCCCAGGGAAGGTCGATTTTTCAGTCAAGCATATTTTTTTTTAATATTTATTTTTATTTATGTATGCATACAAGGATCAGGGTGGGGCCTCCCTGGTGGTGAAAGGGGTTAAGACACAACCTGTGAAGCTGTCCGCAGCCTCTGCAGCACGGGTTCCATCCCCAGCCAGGGAGATACCCACATGGCACGGCAGACCGCCCCTGTCTCGCCCGCTGCTCCCCTCAGCAGTGTATTTCAGTCAGTCTGCCTGTTCTGCTCCCCCACTCTGTCTCTGGTGAATCCTCTCACCCCCTGACACTTTTGGCCTGTACCCCAGTTCTTGTATGCATAAATAAATAAATCTTTTTTAAAAAGAATTGGGGTGTAGACCAGGGGTGGGAAGGATGAGAGGATTCACCAGAGACAGAGTGGGGGAGCAGAACAGGCATATCTACCGAAATACACTGCTGAGGGGAGCAGTGGGCGAGTCAGGAGAGGTCTGCTGCGCCAAGTGGGTAGCTCCCTGGCAGGGTATAAAACTCATGCTCCAGTGGCTGGGGACAGTTTCATAGCCCTAAGACTTAATGCCTGCGCCACCAGGGAGGCCGCTCAGTGAAGCATTTGAGGAGGATGTGAAGAAGCTCTAGAGGATTAGGGCAGTTTTGTTTGCAAACTGCTTCACAGAGCCAATGAAAATTCACAACTTCAAAGTTGAAATGAATCTGTGGAGTGTCTAGCCATTTGTCATCTCAGTCCCTTAATTATTACATCAATATTCAGAAAAATTACATAATATTGGAAATCAATGCGTAGAGCTAATTGTCACACTTCACAAAGATGCCCTGGTATGCATGACTCATTCACTCATTTGACAAATACTTGCATCTGATGGGATTTATCAGTGCAACACAAACTTAGAAAAAATGATTACAAAGCAGGCATAGATGATTACAAATTAATTGTGAACATAGGTCAATTCATTACAATTCCTTTTAAAACTTTTACAACAAAAAAATCACAACGTGGCATGTAGATGCATGTTATGCAAAGTAAAACATTTTGCATATTTATTCATACATATGCTGATGAATAAAGTAAAGCAAGGTGAGTCTGTATATGACTAAAAACAAAAAGATAAATGAAACTACAGATATTCCAAGGGAAACAAGGAGGCAAAGGGGCAGGATTTCAGCAGCCCCCGGTAAAGAACTGTAGGGGGGGAGAAAATGAAGCTATACAAGGGTTTTCCCTTTGCCAGATAGTTTCTCATGAATGATTCATTCATTTAATGCACTTTTTTGGAAGAACTATCCTGGGTTATGCAGTAGATCTTCACACTCCATTATGGTAGCCACAAACTATATGTGGTTATTTAGATTTAAATTTAAATAAAGTTAAATAAAATGAAGTTTAATTACACGGACTATATTTCAGCTGTTCACTAGCCAGGTGTGCCTGATGCTTACCATATTGTATGGCCCTTAGACATCACTTTTCCATCATAATAGAATGTCCTCTTGCACAGCTGAGAACTAGAATATTTGTAGGATAAGAGACACAGAAATACAAATACCAGTAAAACGATCATATACACTGAAAAGTCTTACCATGGTAAAAATACAATAATTTGAGCTGAAAATCTGAGAAGTCCTTCCCAAAGGGATCCCCTTTGTTTTGGATCTTAGAAGGCAGTAGTTGGACTTGGAGAGGGCACAGACTTTGGAGGAGCATCTCTACTTTTTATTAGTATGTGTCTTTGGACAAGTTACTTAACCACTTTTAGGTGTATAAGATGGAAATAAATAGAAGATATACCTCATATACCTTACAGGGTAATTGTGAAGATGGAATAAACAAGTTAAATGCACACATGCTTAAATAGTGCATAACACATAGTAAGTGCTCAATAAGAAGAAATGACTGCTTTTCACAGGATCATGGAAATCCATGGGAGGGAGATGGGCTGCTATGAACAAATGCTTAAATGATATGATTTATGCTATGATATATGATATGGCATGAGAGGTTTTTTTTTTTATGATTTTAGGAAATACCAAGTAACCCTTTAGGGTTAGAGAAAGACTTTAGCCTGAACTAACCCAAGATTTGTTTAAATTTTGCAGCAAAACATGAAGTTGCATTTAAGCTCTGCAGCAAAGTAGAATCCCTTACTTCATGGCACAGGCTGTAGAAACTAGAATTTATAATTAAATCTAATCAGGGAAATTCTAATGAAATTTTCCCACTTGTCCTAAATTAAGTTCAACTTAATGGCAATATGTATTATTAGAATCAATATCTTTTGCAAAACTCATAGACTCTGAATATTCAGATTTCATGGCAAGGGAGTAAAGAATAGTATACTTTATAGAAATAAAATATAAAACAAAGAAGTTAAAAATTCCAAATGCTCTTGACTTTTCTGTCATCTATTATTTATTCTGAATTGTGTTTTATAGCAAAATGTTTGAGCAATCTGAAGCACAAACAACATATGGAGCACTAAATATTTTGTAGGCTTAATGATGTATTAGTATTTAACTTTGTAAGAAATTCTAATTGCCAGATATGTTTATCACTGCAGATGGGATATGAAGACTTCTGATACCTTGAGATATTAGAGAATCCAGCTATCTCTACAGGAGGAGGGGGTGGAATTATAATTCTATATACAAAATTAAAAGAATTAATGAAAAAAGAATGGGGGAAACTTTATAATTTAGAAAAAGAGATTTGAGCTAGTTGTTGGGGCAGCTCCAGTCCATCAGGGCCAGTCAACAGGACATCTTCCATCTAGTAGACCAAGCATGGTCATTTAGGAGCTCTAAAGACACTCAAGAACCTCTGTTGATCTGTGACAGAGAGCATGAAAGTGGATTTGACTTGAGGCAACTTCATGATCATGCACAATTCGTCCTGGATAAAGGAACTGCTTCTGGTGGTTCTTACAGATTGTTGTGGAGAGAGAAAGTACATTCCAGATAATAGCAGCACAACAATTGCTAGGGACAGTGGTCATTTATTCCCAGAAAGATACTTCAAATGGAAAAACAACTAAAATTGGAGCTGTGTTCTCATTAAGTTTATGATCATGTATAGTCATTCTCCAAAATCCATCCAACTTTGGCATAAGCAAAATAACCTTCAAAGTCAGTAACTGTTACTGCCCTATCATCTGCCAAAGAAAATTCAAAGCACTTTATAGGATATGTTTTGTTGAGTGAAAAACTGTTTACAGAAAACAAGACATGTGACCCTGATGTTGGTGACTAGAAGTGACATTCCTTTTTATTGTGCACACTTGCTTGTTTGCAGCTGATTGGTTCAGATGCTGGATGGTCAGGCTGACATGAAGATTTGTTTAAGATCAGAATCAGCATATTGGGAGCCCTGGGGCTATTCAGGTTTTAGGTACATGACTGGGCTGTTTGCGGTAGCAGAACATGCAAACTTTGTCGTGGTTTTGATTTCTCCGCAACACACAGCCCCTTCCATCCTTCTACCATCTTGGAGTTGGGTTGGACATAAAGGGCTTTCTGATTCCCACCACAGAAAGTAGCCTGCATTCCAGATTTGTGCCATTCCCCCTGGCTCCTCACGTCCCACAGGATGACATGAAATGGCCCAGTAGTGACTCCACACACAGTGGGTTACATTACAACTAAAAATCCTGAACTTGCAGACCCCCCATCTTTTATAATGAGCTACAAGGAAACCTGCCCAATTATTGCCCCAGAGGGAGACATAATCTTTGCTAAAATGGGCAGTATACAAAGCTTCACTCTGGTCTGCAGAATGATACTCGATGTACTGTCTCAGGAATATAAACAGCACTGAAAAGAAATCTGGAATAAAAGCTGTCATGCCTCTGCTCATAAGATGTGCGGAAAAACAAGAGACTGGTAACAGATGGGTCTATGGAAAAGCACTACCAAAGAAGGTCCATTCTCTGATTTACAGAAATTGAACTACCTTTCTCTTTGACTGTATGTAAGCTTAACTTTTGGAATCTTACCTTAGAATTACATATTATTTCATCATTGTCACTGGCCTGTGGATTTGCAGTTAAATTGTGAAACTCTGGTCCAGTTTCTAAGATGCTTAACATGGAAATATAACTGTTATTGCTTACCCTTCCTGCTAATAATCTTTCTAAGTTGAAAGGCAGAGCCATAAGCAAGCAATAAAACTAAATATAAGTTGAAATGCTATTTATATTTAAACAATTATAAACTAAGAACACATCAACTATCTAAATTACTACTTAAATATTTTATATTCCAATGTCCATATCAACTTCTTCAAAATGATTTCAAGATTTAATCATTTACTCTAATATTTTAATATCTCAGCTACTAATTTTGAAGTAACTAGCTGAAGGTCTGGGTTATTTATCTCCCTTGAGGGTGATTTACTTTGTCATATTCAGGCCAAATGCATACAAGAATCATTTTCCTCAACAGTGTATTAAAAACCAATTTCAGTAAAAAAAACTCCATCAGTAAAGGTGAAACTGTAGATAATGTTCAATCATCTAATTGAAATTTCAGCTCATGGCCAAGCCATAGCAAGAAAAAGGACCCATCCAAATTCAAGGAGCAGGGAAATAGCCCCCAACTCTTGATGGAAAAAGAGACAAAATCAATTGCAAAGGGATGCATTCGAATGGAAGTAATTATATATTAGGGAGACTTTGCAAACAATCTACTCTAGTTTCCTTAAGTCCATTAAGTCTTAAACAAATTTAATTTGGTTTGGTGCAGATAATTTTCCCAAAGAGGATTCAAGAGAAGAGAAGAAGTTGCACTGACAAGGACAAAAGTTAATCCTGCTTTTTGCCTTGTAAGCATAGTCTTCTCCCTCTAGTCTTTGGAGTCCCAGAGCAGGGCAAAAACACCGCCTGAGAAATTTCCATTTAACTTAAACAAAGAGGAAGAATCTCCTCTGGCTGGATGCTATTTGCTATGGTTTTAATGGTGTCAGGAGATAAGAGGAACAGCTACAAAATTTGCAAAGCACAGTGCAAAATTAAAATGTGTGTTGTCAAAAATGAGGAATTTCATATTAACTCTCAATAAAATGGAAAAAAGTTAAATATTAAGATGATAGCTACTGACCATTAAATCAAACATCTTCCCTCCGAAGGGTAGGCCCTGGAGTGGAGTTCAGCTCGTGTTACTTAAATAGGCATCTCTAGGTATATTGATCATATTGCTTATTCCCCTCAGACCCAAGCCAGGAAGGAAGTTGGTGAGACTCTTCAAAACCTTCCTTTTTATTTTCCTAAGGAGTATGTAACTGAAAGGATTATATTACTGCCTTCCATTCTCCCAGACTGAGACCATTTGGCTAAAAAATTAATTTTTTCCTTACAAGGCACAATTTCTTACCTAAAGCAATATGTCTTTATGCTCACAATGGATATGGCTCTGCATAATAATTTGAAGCAACAATGTGAAGTGCTGACTTCACTTTTAAGGAGATGCCTTAAAAATTATGAATTTAGGTTTGAATTGTGCTAGCCCTGAAAATTAATATTTGTCCTTGTGCAGAAATATGTGTGCACATGTGTTCTGTTTATCTGCTGGGCAGAAGAGAAAATGTAAATGTCCATCCGCTCTTACACAGCCCAGAAGTTCCCAAACAATAACCGGTTCTGAACACCTATGTCCATCGGAGACTTTCCTGAAGAGTGCTGGCTTCCTGGGTGTGCACACTCTGCAGTGCACGAGACCCCACACTTGCAAGGGCTTCGTGCTCGAAAACTGTATATTATGCTGTTGTCCCTGTTCTGCTAAGATACTATGAATCTAAACATCCCTAAACAGCTCCCCAGTCCTTTCTCAAGCGTCACTTCCAGTGTTCACACGTCAGAGGGATTATATCTATCCTAATGAGGCCCCCGAGGAGTCAGTCTACATCAGTGATTCTCAGAGGGGGCAATTTTGCCCCCCTGCGCTGGGGACATTTGGCATTGTCTGGAGTCATTTTGTTGTCAGGACTGGGGTGAGGAGCTGGGGGACATGGTTGAGCAGATTGCAGCCAGAGATGCTGCTTAACATCCTGCAGTGAACAAGACCACCTGTCAAGACTAGAATCATCTGGCCCCAAAGATTCATAATACTGAGATTGGCAAACCCTGTCCTAGATTAACTCACATTTGCAAAATTGTTGGGACAAAGGGGAGGCAGAGATTCCGAGGTAAGCACGAGCAGTGAGTGGGTAGAGCTGCTGTTCCTGAGAAGCAGGTGAGGGTAACACAATGCATGGAAAGGCGCTGCACCACAGACCTGTGCACAGAAGGAGGAGGCTGGCGACGTGATATTCGACTATGCATGTCTGGCCTGGATGGAGACAGGAGTGCAGCACGCTCTGTGTTTACCAACAGTGGGAACTGTGATGAGAAACTAAGCTCTACCTGACACCTGCTGCTGCAGGTTTTATTTCATAGTGTTACTAACCATCGTTGCAGCAACATAAAATAAATAAAAGTTGAGTCCTCTTAGGATGAGTGGGCCTTAGGAATAAGCTCCTTTGTTATCTGCAAAGGGGATCAAATTGACTCTTCCTTTTCCTCCTAAATTCTGAGCAATTCTGAATGAAGACAAAAGGCGGTGGTAGTCAGGAACACCAGTCTGGTATTACAAGCTGGATTCTGAGCTAGGAGCTTGCGACTCCTGACTCTGGACGCTGGTGCTAGAATGAAGTGTCTGTCCGTCACAGCAGGGCTGGGTGTGCAGAGGACAGAATCGACAGGTGTAAACTCTGTGACTTAGAGAAGCAGAATGGAGGGTTCTCCTGGGGGTTCAGCTCAGGTTGGAAGAGAGGGGGACTGTGTGTGAGCCTCCCTTACTCAATCCATCTGGTCACCCTTTGCCTGGCAGGAAGGAATGTGTAGTTCAAGGAGTGACCTCCCTCCATGGGGAAAGAAAACAAAAAGGAGGAAAAGACACCCCCACCCATTTACTTTGCAAACTTTATCAGCAAGCAGCCCCTGCCCTCCAGCAACTAGACAATCGATTGAGTCCTTGCTGTACATGGTGTTGATAAGGCGCCTTCTCTTCAAGAATCTCTAGTTTTATTCCAAGGGTAAAAAGCACACTTTAACTTACTAACAAACATAGGACATTTTTTAATTAGAACACTTCATTGATAGGAGAAGGTATACCGACTTACTCAAAAGTTGTGAAGTGTCGATTTCATTTTAACAATTGATATTTACTTTTTTCATTCGCCTAAGACTAATGGAGGGAGTGGGTTGCTTTGCTTTTACAGTCTGAGACTGTCCCCTCTGCCTTAGGGAAATTGCTAGTGGGGAAATACTAGTAAATACTAGTAAATACTGTTTTACTAAAAAAGCAGCGTTAATGCCTCACTGTATATAAAGAGGTTATTCTATAACCAAAAAAAAAGCATTTAAATGCATATTATTCATGAAGACACCATAAATATATACAACTGAGATACTTGATAAAACAGATATACTTGAAATCACTAACTGCATAGAAAACATTTTAAGTGAATATGCTAAAGTCTTATTTCTATTTCAAAAACATCTACTAAAGATTTTTTTTTTAAATGCAATCTTAACGACTTTGGAATTACATACAATAACAGTTTATTTTCCCCTGGGTCTCTGGAAACTGAGAGGAAAGGAAATAGGCCCCTGGGATATTAAAATCATGCTCAAAATATATTATCAAAATGTGATCAATTTATAAAATTCATCAAAATATTTTCCTCCGGTTTGCACAGAGTTGTATCTTGATTGTCTTTTTTTCTAGATCAAATGCAAACTACAAAGGAAGCACAAAATTAACATTTACTCAAGTACAATTATAGGGGAAGAGAATAAACCTACTCTTACCCTTACAGAGGATGATGTTTCAAGCACATCTTGTCCTCTACAATATCCCCTCATAGTATCACTTGCAAAAATAACACACACGCAGCCCTTGCTTTGTGTGGGAAACACCACTGTTCAGGGCTGCATGTGGGGTAGAAAATGTAAGGTCTCCTGGCCTGCTAATTGGTCCTGCCTTTCTATTTTCTTTGAAAACTCCACTATGAGTTATTTATCATTTTCTACTGCCCAGATCATTGAAGTAGGTCCCAGTAGCTCTTTTCCAGTTAAATATGAAGTTCATTTTCTTCCATCAGGTATCACCTATGATCCACAATTTCTGAAACAGAAGGCGACTAGAGTAATATGCACAGAAGGAGCCAGGAGGGACCCTGACGGTTTTCCTGGAGAGGGAGGTCGTCTTAGGATAACCAGGTTCTCAAAATCACAGTGGGAGAACAGCAAGAATTTTCAGTCTTAAAACTTCTGCAACAGGTTCGTGTGATGTAGTGGGGTGACTAGCAAGATCTTTGCAAGGAGGGAAGAATTTTTCTTTATGAATCGACTGTTCTGACAAGAGCACATTCAACAAAATGGCTTTCTGAATGAGAATCACCTTTATTACAGAAATAATATTACTCTTTTCTGAACCATACTCATATTTTGTATTCATATAAAAAATACAGGGATAAGCAAATACAGTGTCCAAAATTTAAATGTTGACCCATTATTTATGGAATACAGACTTTTTTTTTTTTTTTTTTTGTGGGACCCTCGCTGCCTGGGAACGAACCAGCGCTGCAGAGGCTGTGGGCAGCCTCGCAGCCCAGTGCTCAACCGCTGCGCCACCAGGGGAGGCCCGGAATACAGACTTCTTAAAATAAAATATGATAAAAAAATTTCAATAAATGTTCACACTTATTTCATTCTAAAAAAATGAAGAACTTCTCATTTTGTTTCTAAATCAACAAGATATATTGCAAGAGCTTGTAGTATATAGATACTTAAAATGTGCTATATGCCAAGGACAGTAAAAATGCACAAAACAGTAGAGCTAACTAGTACACTTAAAATTTAAACTGTTATTTCACCACGTTACTGGGTATCCTCATAGTCACTTTTCCCCCATGGTTAGCATATCTTAATGTGAAATATACTCTCTGCAGATGAAATAGAAAGTTTTGATCTTCATGGTATTTGGAATTAATATACTGCTTTATCGGTACTGTAAGAAATTCTGCAATAATGTTGGCAGCTGGAGTTGTGGGATAAGGTGCAGTCTGGGTCTCCCGATGCAGCTTCTGATACAGAGTCGACAAAGTTGGCAGAGAGAGCTGGGGGTCGCTGCAAAAGACACCAGGGTATTTTTATAAGTCCACATGGATTTTTGTAAGTTGTAAGATACATGAAATAAAAGTATAAAAAAATTGCAGTACTTTGCAATGAACTAGGGTACAGTGACCACTATAACAGGGACATTTATAGGATCATTTATATTGATTTGATTTATAAATTCTTATTATAATTGAGGTATATTTTGTGCATGGTCTTTAAAACTATAATCTTTAGGCTTGTGAAACTGCTGTGGTGTTTAAAGTCGCAGATATATTTTCTGCTTTATGAAGAAGGTCTCAATCAAAGGCTCTAGGAAGCACTATGCCATGAAAGGAAAAAAATGTTAAAAATAAATATACATTTCTCAAACTAAGTTTACTATTTAAGCCAAAGCAAATTTTATTCTAGTCTCTGGACTACACTTAAGAATTTCTTTAAAAAATTTTTTTAGTGTCATTATATTTCTAGAATATGTTATAGAAGGGCATGCTCTGATAAAATGAGGAATGTTTTCTAGTACTGATTAGCAGATACCAAACAAAACAACATATTATGTGTTCTCAAACCAAAGTAAGTATAGTTAGCGTCATCAAAAAACACATAGTTTAGGTAAGATTTTTAAATATCACGATATCTTTTTGAATTATACATCTAATGTTAAAAATTAGTTATGGTCATAAAAATATTCCAAATTTTATGTCATTATCATTTTACATGCCAACAGAAAAAGCCTTTAAATTTCATCTACTTTAGGCAAAAGCATTTGGCTATTTAAAGGAGTACAGGTATTCTTCTCACCTTCGTGTTGAAGCAATAACCTTTCCACCAAGCTGCTAGAAGTAGCTACATCTATAGGTCGCAAGAGCTCTGTATTTTTGGCATTGATATCTGCTCCAAATTCTAGCAATAAGTTTACAATCTCCACACTGGACTGCTGAGCAGCAGCATGCAAAGGAGTATCCCAGTATTTGCCTTTTTGTACATCAGCACCTATAAGTAAGTAGGGAATGGGGAGAAATACAAATAAAAATTGTTGGGTTAGTTACTGACATCAGTGCAGGAAGGAATGAGAAGGGAAAAAAGAACACAAAGGGACCTCAACTTTACCTGTATTGAGGTACATCTTTGTAAATGTTTATGAACACACATGCATGTATATGTTTCATAGACACATATGTTAGATAGTAAAACTTGGTATATGTGACTAGAGTGTTCACACACTTTCCTCTCATTTTTCTGTGTCCTTTAAAGGTCTCATAATAAAATATCTTCTTAAATTTGTAAAAAGTTCTAAAAGTAATCATGTTAAATAGTTGATAAACAGTGCACAATTAAATTGACTGATAACCATTTTCATCATGAATAATCTTAGGATTATTCAAAAGCTTAGTGTGCTGAATCTTTTCATTGATTTTAAAGCAACAGAGCTCTTGTTTTTTTGAAAACTAGTATATCTAGATATGTGAGCTTTTTAGATAAAATATATATAGATTTTCTTATCATTCTTGTAATTTACTAAATAAATCTATAAATGCACTGAGCTTCTTAAAAGTGAAGACACAAATTTCTGTATGCAAAGTAAATTATTTTTAAAGTTACTATTTTTAAAAATCTTAAATGTTAAATTACCTATCACATAGTTATTTTACTTCAATGCAAAACCTGGCTCATGGTGGTCATTCAATAATGTATAATAAATAAATGTTATTTAATAATATAAATAATAATAACCCCATTTTCCAGCACAAAGAGGGTTACAACACCAAAAAAAGGTCTATGGATAAAAATGCACTAACCTTTTCAACTCTACTTTCAGATACTATCAGTAACACTGATGTCTGCAGGAAACAGTGCCCTGAAGGGTCCTCCAGCTATTTTCAAGTTTCAATAAATATAATTACTTTCAATATTTTATTTTGAACCAAATATAAATGCTTAGAGGGAATATTATATTCCATGACAAAATTTCTGTAGCACTTAAGGGTATAGACAGAATGAAAGAGGATTTCAAGGGCATTACCTGCATAAAGAAGCTTCCGGACACAATGGAATTGCTGGGACATGCAAGCCACATACAGAGGAGTTCCCAGATGAGGAATGTCTTGGTCAACATCTATGCCCCAGGATATGAGTATTTCCAGACATTCATGGTGACCTGCCAACACAGAGCAGACATCTCCTTTTCCTTAATGACCACCCCCTCACACACACACACACACAAACACCTCAGCCCATGTCTTTTTATTTTTTTTTGCATAGAAGAACTGGGGTACAGGCCAGAGGTGAGGGGGTGAGAGGATCCACCAGAGACAGAGTGGGGAGCAGAACAGGCTGATGTACTGAAATACACTACTGAGGGGAGCAGCAAGCGAGATAGGAGAGGCCTGCTGTGCCATGTGGGTAGCTCCCTGGCTGGGGATCAAACTCAGGCCATAACGTTGATAACGCTGCGACTTAACCCCCAGGCCACCATGGAAGCCCCAGCCCACACCTCTTGCAGTGTTAATCATTGAAATATAAATGGATACCTGCATGTTAGTGAAGGAACTTTCTCTGCTGGTCACTTAATCCCAGATTAAATTACCTTTACTGGCAGCCTCATGGGTGGGAGAAGGAAGACACGACTCCAGCTGGGCTTTGGCGCCATATTCCAGGAGAAGCTCCACACAGCTGGTGCTGCCTTGTGAGCACGCGTTAAACAGTGGGGTCACGCCATCTATTGTGATTGCGTTTACCTGAACCAAACCCACAATTTAAGAATTAGAGTCACAGAATGATTAAACTAACTTAGGCATTTTAAAAGTTATGTGATTTGCTAAAGGAAATCCTTGGGAAAATGTGCACGGTAGATAAATAAGTAGAGATATATGGCAGGTAATTCACAGCAATGAACATATAACTGGTAAAATTCATGAAAAAATACTCAGTAAGTAATGATAACGAAAATTGTGATGAAGCAACTTCGCTAAGTGGCAAAATCATTTAGTAAAACTGGTAATTCTAATTCTGAGAACTTATCTGAGGAAATCATCCAAAAGATGGACAAATGTAATGAGAGAGCAGTGGATTCAGAAGATGTGGTATATAAATACAATAGAGTAAGAAGCAGTTATAAACAGAAGATGAACTCATGTCATTTGTGACCATATGGATACAGCTGGAGGGGATTATGCTAAGCAAAATAAGTTAAAAAGCGAAAAACAAATGCAGATGATCTCACTCATATGCAGAATACAGCCACCAAACAAAGGTACAGACAAAACTAAGCCAAATCAAAGTGGAGAGGGGATCCAAGAGGTTATGGTGGAGGACTGTGGGTACCCTGGTGATGGGTGTGGTGTGTTCTCACACATCAGAACAGGTGTGACCCTGTCAATCATATACAGTATTGCAAACCAATGTTACCACAATAAAAAAAATTAAAATAATGATAATAAATGAAAAGATAGGCAAATGTGACAGGCATAAAAACGTTCATCTATTGTTCTTTGGTGACATGAAAGTAGAAAAATAACCTAGAGAATATTCTATATTATTATGCTACACTTTACTGCAATGATTGGAAGGTTTTCTTAGCGCACCATGAAAAGGCTAAGACAATATGAGTTCTATTTTTATTACGAGAAAGAAGGAAAGAAAAGTAAAAAGAAAACTTTGCTTGATTCTCTTAGTAGATGTGAAATTGCCAATGTTTTTAAAAGGTACTTACATTTGCTCCAGCTTCTAGAAGGGTCCTGGCACACGCCACATGATCTCCCAGGCAGGCTTCATGCAATGGGGTGACATGGTCTAAGGTTACTGCATTTACATTGTAACCCTAAATGTAATAGGAATAATTTTGAAAGGAAGCAAAGGTTACATAAAATCATCTCCCTAAATGTCACCTGGACATTTATGAAAGCGTTCAGACACTCTTAGGCAAATCAGTTTTAAGTTTAGCAGGAAGGATCAATTCAATTGCCAAGTCAATTAGTTATCACAACTCTTTAGACCCAGAATGGAATAACCATCATATATGAACCTGATACTGCTTCAAGTATTCTGTGCAATTTTTTTTTAATGTTCTCTTTGAAATTTGCATTAACTTTTTCTGCCTTAAATTTTATGAGTTGGTTTGGTTGTTAATGTCATCTAGTTTTTGTTTTATAGAACTGAAGGCTGTTCACAGTCTGGATCACTTGATTGGATCTGTAAAGTACAGGTCAGGCCAGACTGGGGGTGGAGGGAGATAAATTATAGCAAGCTGCTTTGTGAATTTTCATCACTAAGTAGGTATGAATAGGTTAACTACTGCTAATAATTATAACTTCTGTTTATGGAATCAGACTGGAGTTTGAAGCTCCTTAATGCAACAATTACAACAATTTGGAGGAATATCTTAACCCTTAAATTTTAGGATTACCATGAGAATTAAGTGAAATGATGCTTGAAAAGTAATATGATCAATGTATAGAAATGTATCATTTTATTATGCAAGCAAACAAAATAAACACTTAAACATTTTATTACAATTGAGCTAGTCATATCAGACTAAAATAAAACTTATTAGGATGTGAGATTATTAGCCTTGTTATTTCTGGTAATTCACTATCTATTGAGAATCACATGAAGCATTAACAGAAACACTTCCATGGTCAAATCCCCATGACATAAACAACACAATCACCATGATCACCAACACAATCACAACAACACAATAGCAGAATGGACATGAGGAATCTTAAAATGAAGACAAGAAAATAAGCACCCCAGATCTTTGTTGCCCATGTGGCAACTCATAAGATCCCTCAAATGATCCTTTCAGTGATTTTGAACCTGTGAGCAGCAATCTGGACTTGGAGAGCTGGTCCTAACTGGTCCTCACTGCACTGCACTGGAGTGACCAGATGACCTAGTAGCTGCGAAGGTCAAGGTTCTCTTTCAGGTCAAGGGAGGGGGTGCTGGGGGGTGGGCAGCCTCTGACTTGTTGGCTGGCCAGTTGGTGGATATGAGATAGATACATGTTGAGAACTATCCCAAGACTGGTCTCCTCTCAAGGAAATGCCTGTCACTCTCAGAGGAACTGCCCTTTAGAAATCACTGACCTTTTTACAGGCTGTTGTTGTTTTTTGTTTTTTTTTTTAAATATCAAGAGGTGAACCAAGTAGTCCTATGGTCCTCTTGGACCTGGAAGGCTGGAAGGTAGTGTCTCATCCGACACTTCTTTTCCAGATGAGGCCAGGGAGGCTCAGATAGACCATGATTCAAGTGGCAACATGAATCCAGGTAGCGTTGTGTAAACTGAATGATACTATCCTTCCTTCTGTCATACCCACCTGGGAAAATCCTTTCCCCTCAATACAGACAAGCCTCAAGTTAGTGACTTTTGAATCTGAAAGCCCATTTGGCATCACATTGGGAAATTTAAAAATTCACAGGCCAAGCCAGACTGCCTTCTACAAGAAATCTGTGTTTTCTATTTTTCCTCCGGTGTGTCTGATGAGCAGGTAGCTGTAGAAGGAATTGCTCCATAGCTTTCACAAGCAACTGTCCACCACATGTGATGGGTTATTGTAACATAAAAAAAGATGTGTTTTTTTTAATGCGCCTGGTCTGATGACCCCCTTTTGGATGTTGTATACCCCTGACTAAGTCGCCATTAACTGTACATGTCATACAAAGTTAAAACATATTTAAAATGACTAATAAATTAATGTCTATTGACAAGCAACTATACTATATGAGGAATTTGAAATTCTAAGCATTTGAAAGACATTTCAAAGAGAAATGAGAATTTCAGACTTGACTATGGATGAGCTAAAATAAGATAACTAAAATGTATGAGACAGTTTTGATGCTTGTGAATGGAATTGATAATTGACATTCTTTGCTCGTGGGGCAGGGACACGCTTCAATCATTGGGCCAACTCACCTGTGACAACAATGTCCTCAGAGCTAGGAGACGACCTTGGCTTGCTGCTTCATGCAGTGGGGACCTGTCTGCCCAGGAACCTGCCAGAAAAGAAAGACACAAGAATCTGAGTCAAAGTAAACCCTAACAGGCACAATCAAGTCCCATGGTTTATAAACGGTGCAGATTCTGTTGCAACAGGGGACCAAGTCACCTATGCCAGATACCAGGAAATTTGGGTCTTGTTTAAAGGAAGCAGGCCGTTTCCGGAGGCCTGTGCTGCATGGCCTAGAATCAACCGACCCCAGACTCCCTGCACCTTTTGAAATATCCTTCAAAGAAGAGGAAGATTAAAATCACCAGATCTTCCTCTTTTCCCCAAAAAATAACTGAAAAATAACCCTATCTTTCAAGGTTTTCAGACAGAAACCAGAAAAAGAAAAAGATATGGTGTTTTTTTTGTTTTTTGCAATTTTAGCAAGGGGAGCAGCGGGAATCCCCATATGCCCCATCCACCCTTTTGATCCGCTTGCTCTCTGCACCCCCAGAATGCCCTGATCCTGAAGTAGAGGACTGTGAAACAAGATCAAGGAGGATAAGTAGCTGAGCCCCAAGTCCTAAAACGTGAAACAGTCCAGGAAGGCCCTACAAAGGGGGCATGATAGGCTATAAGAGACAGACTGTCATTGATGTTTGAGATGGTGCCAAAAATGCCAACGACTTATCCACAGGTCACTGATATTCTGCATGCCAGGATTGGTGGATGGTGGCACAGAAACCCCCCAGCCCCTCCTGTGCTCTGGTGAAAAAAACACTGACCAGCTGTAAAAGACACATCAGAAGTAGAGGAACTGACGCGCTAAGTTCCAACCCTGAGCTGTCATCTCTGTTTTGCCCTTTGGCTTTTGCAGGATGACTTCAGTGCAGGGGACGTATGAGCTGCTTCCTGGGACAGTGACAACACCTGACTTTAACTATGACGATATAGCAATAGCATATTCGTGGGGATGTGGGGCTAGGAGAACCACACTGAAGACTCAGCATTTTGCTAATGTCACAAAGTTAGCATAGATTATATTTATGTTAAAACTGGTAAAGAGTAGCCTTTCAGAATGTAAACTGTCTTGAAACATGCATGGATTCATTCATGCGGAGACTCAGCTGAATGGCGCTGAATGTTGCCATGGTGTCTTCTAAGCATTAGAGCTTTGAGAAATGTGTTCTCAGAATCCTCCTGGCTCTCCAGATTTCATTTCCGACATCTGCAGTCTGTGCTTTTTCCACAACACTATTTTCTGTTCTTCCTTTAATCTCAAATACATTAAGTTTCATTTTTGGGGGAAAAAGTCAATTTTCCTATCATTTTGAAAATTCTGGCATCTGTAGGAAGAAATTGGTTTGTGCCATTAGAGCTTACTTTCAAACAGCGGGATTGTGTCCCCATCACATGGGTGTCTCTGGGTCAGAGAGACCCAACTGTGAACAGACAATACAACCAGCCTCCTCCAACAGAGAGAAAGCAGAGCTGAGTACATTTGAATTACTATTTTTCAAAGATAGATGGTGAATAAAATATATTCCTAGGATGGATTGTTTTATTATGATGTCTTTTTCTCCTTCAAAAGATATTGAAACTCGGGGCCACCCTGCTGGTGCAAGGGGTTAAGTCACAGCACTATGAAGCTATGAGCAGACTCTGCAGCATTAGTTCAATTCCTGGCCAGGGAGATGCCCCACATGGTGCAGCAGACCTGTCTTGTTTCACCCACTGCTCCTCTCAGCAGTGTATTCAGTAGACTTGTCTGTTCTGCTCCCCCAATCTGTCTCTGGTGAATCCTCTCACCACATCAAACCCTCACACCTCTGGCCTACACCCCAGTTCTTGTATGCATAAATAAAAAAAAAGTTAAAAAAAAGACATTGAAACTATAGCTTCCATCAGCTGAAAACCCTCAAACTTCTTTAAAAGGGGACCATCATAGACAGTGCATAGAGGTTGAGAACCAGTGTTTAAAGAAGCAAGTGCTACTGGAAGTCTCTGGAGAGACAGTGGTGGTATTGAGAAAAACTAATTTTTTAGTGATAACATGTTTGCTTAAATAAAAATACAGATCCTTAGGCAGTTCTCACCATATGTGAGGTCCTATACTAATGGTTGCATTTAAGTTTAGTTGTTTTGATCCTCACAATGATCTTTTGAGGTATGGACTACTCTTTTCTAGCAAGAGACCGAGACTCAGAAAGATTAATTAACATTCCTGTGGTAACTTAGCCAAAAAGATCAGTAAATTCAAACCCCAGACTCAACTTCAGAGAAAATATTTTAAGCTGTGCAATCTTGTCTCTCAACACACACACATACACACACACACAGAGTATTCTAAGCATTTTTGTAAATGGTAATGCAATACATTTCTGTGGGGAGCTACTTTTGCTGCTATCAGTTATGCCATTCACATGTTTTCTTTTCTAATACACTTCCAAAATAACCCCCTCTAATCTGAACAGTGGTGTATTTCATTTTTTTCTTAGCAACAACTATAGGCAATTGCTGTGACGGGGTAGACTTCCCGTGATGGGCACTGAGTGATAGTGTAGGGAAGTTGTGAAATGCAATAACTCAAGTCAGAGAAACTAAATTTACAGGTGAGTCTCAAAATCATCATTAACTTGGTGGCATAAAAATGAAAAGTTATTTTTCTCATATTTAGTTCTGTTTCTTAGCTATTCCTAGAACTGTAATTGTGCCCAGTCCTTATTAATCATCTCTTACAATTTTCTAAGCCTATTTCATTCACTCAGATTCCCCCTTACCAGATTTTTTTTTGCACTTTGATTTCCAGGGAAAATGGCAATGAAAAGGAATCTTATCAAGTATTTATAAGGATTTAAAAAATACCTGCCAGAATTTGCCCTGGAGATGGTACAATCGCCACCTAGTTTCTTCATTGTGTTTACCTCTACTCCTAGAACAAGGGTAATTGACTTACAAAATTGTGAGCTGACTTCCACTGTTGCTCCACCCTCATTTTTCCTAGCTAAGCTAGTTAAGGTAGCATCTTAAGCCACCTGGGCAAGTTATTCAGTCATACTGGGTCTCCAGGTATACAAAAGGTATATATGTTATTGTTAAGCTTCTCCATGGCTTCCTCACTTAAAAAATAAAATTATGAACAATTTAAGCTCAAAGAAAACTAAATTGTATCTCCCACTTGCCTTCTCTCTCTATATGTCCCTCTCTGTATGTATCTTTCTATGTGAATATATAAAAGATGCACATATATATGATAAATACATAATATGTATACATATGAGAAAGATATAGGTAAGGAAATTTCTATAACATATATTAAACTTTCCAGCTAGCATTATTTCTTGCTAATTCCAAAAAAATTAGTAAGCTAGACTTCAAATTCTTTAAATGTTCAACTGAACAAGAGCTATGGTTAGTAGTTCTTGTGTATCTGGTTTTTTTTTTTTTAATGCAACACTTATTATTTTTAAAAGCAGAATCGAAATAATACACATCAATTAATATTTGTTGGCAGGACAAGACTTGGTAGCACGAAAGTATTGCCATAAAATTGGAGTATTATGTTTTCACTAAAAAAAATGCAAAAGTCACATCATAAATATTGTTTGGGGAGGCGACCATATTTTGAATTCCAGCTTTTAAGATAAAATTTAATGCTTTGAAAAATCACACACATCCGCTTGTTTTATCATGAAACAACTTGATTGTGGAGTGAAATGCTGGAGGACTTCAGAACATATATCAATTTTCATTGTGAATATTTAAATAAGGAAATGATGACAGTAACTATCCAAACAGATTGCATATGTGAAACCACTAAATTCAGTTTAATCAGCACAGCAGCAGTAAATTAATTGACTTTAAGTAATCAATGCTTAAATATATGCTTGAATATAAATAATCATTTATAATATTTATAATGATCAGATTCTCCCCCCGAATAATGCCTTAATACATTTCATTATCCTTAATTTATCTCTAAAACATGTATGCTGATTATGTGACGCCTGTTCATTATCACTGTTCTGTCACTGTCACTGAATAACATGGCATTTAAACAGAGGTTGGGATTGCAAAAATGTCTAGAGAGATGGCCTCTTGGATTCATTTTGGATGCATTTATTGTATATTATGAAGACCTTTGCAGGGCAGTAGAGCTAACCCTATTTGCAGCTAAGTATATTCCTGTTTTGCATATTAATGTGGCCATCAAAATGATTGCATTAGTCTTCTGAACAATTTCAGAATGACTTGCTGGTGTTCGAAGCAAGAAAAAATGAGAAAAGGGAGATGAATCATTTAGAAAACAGGCCACGCATGGGCCAGAATATAGAAATGTAAATATTCAAATTTACCACCCCATAGCCCATCCCCCAGATTTCTCCCCAGACTGTCACATAGCTTTCTGTCCTCACTGTCATTTTCTTTATCACCAAGTCTTCTTCCATCATGGTGGGGAGAAAAAAGCTGAAGTCAGATTCCATGCATGTGCATTTGCCATTGTTTCTATTAACATGACCTCCACTGGCATAAAAGCTATCTGCAGGAAAGATAGCTATCACAGCTATCTGCAGGAAAGCGTGGGTGGGTGGTCAAAGAAATAACCACTGAAAACACACAATGTTGGATGAGGGATTCCTTGGCCCATCAGTCAGGGGAGAGGCTTTATAAAAGTGTACCTTCCTCGGTTTTGCTTGGAGGAGCTCAGCTCCCTTCACCTGCCTGGGATCGCTGCTGGGCCATTATGACTTAAAGAAGGAAGAAGCAGTAGGAGGAAGAGGAAGGAATAGAGACTAGGAGGAAATAAGAAATGAGATGGGGTCTAGAGCCCAGAAGCTCATAGAGAAAAAATGGCTGAGGGGCCAGGCAGGCTGCATTTTCATCCCGACATCATGCAGTCATCTAACCTCTGAGATTCTCGTTCCTCATTAAAATGGGAAAAAGCACTGGATTGAGGGAGGTTTAGAAATGAGTGTGCAAAGTACCCACTATATAAATGCATAACCTATAATACCTGGTATTCTTTGCTAAACACAATGGATAAATAAGGGAGACTTTAATATGAAT